CAGCACTGGCCTGGGGCGTTACACCGCCAGCTGGGACTAGGTATGTGTTATTGGTTAACTGCTTAACTGATATAGATGTAAATATTGTTTAAAAAATTATCCATTCCTAGTTTTCATGCTTCATTTTGCTTGCAAGTAATTTTAAGTCTGAATTTTGTGGGCTTATGACAGGGGCAGGTGCCACGGGATGGGGTCCCCAGGGATGGCAGTGATGCACCTAGGGCTCCGTGACCATGCCAGTCCTGCCCAACAGGCACCCTCTTTCTCGCCTGCCGCATCTTGCTGGTAATTATAATAAATAGGGAGGCTGCCCTCGAGTTTGTATTTGGACATGGTCCTGATGGACCCCACTGAACCCTGTGGGTTCTTGGACCCCTCTTGGGTCCCGCTCCAAAATGGATGCCTCATGGGACACCCTCAGCCTTATGGGCTATATGCGTGACTCCAAAATGGCCCCTTTACCATGCCTCAAGTCTCGCAGACGGCATTTACACATTGTTCCTCTGAGGCCTGAGTTTAGCTTGGCCTCCAGCCATCGCTGGACTCTGCTCACCCTCTTTGTCTCTGCATCCTCTGGTGCTGGGCTCTGCGCAGCCCTTTTGTCACGGCACCCCCGTATCTACCGGTCTATAAACAACAACTGAAATACAAGCCCCTGGGCTATAACGTAACACAAGCAGTTCAGGGTGTGCTCTGTCCCGTTTAAAAAGTCAAACTCTCCCCTCCCCCTACCCCCACTAAGTGTCTTGCAGGCCAGGTTACCCGGTGAGCTCCTGGAACCTCATTAGCCCCAAATACAGCATATCAGGCAGCCACAGTGTCTCTGGGCAGTTCTTCCCTGGAGGCTTCTTCCCCTGATTGCTGCCAGAGAACTGACTAACTGCTGGTCTCAGCCCTGGGGTTTATATGCGCCCAGGGCCCTGCCTTCTTCTGGTCAGCTGACCGGGTGCAGGTGCAGGCTAATTCCCTTGTTAGCCTGCTGCCATAGTAACCTGTACCTGTGGGGTTTCTGTCTGGCCTTCAGGCCCTCTCCCTAGGCGGTTTCTGCTCTTAAAAGAGCAGACACCTTAGTGCCCTGCGACAGCAGGCAGTTATTTTGGGTGGAGGTCCACTTACCGAGTTTTGGCAAGCTGTCATGGGCTGCATAGGTAGCCTAGCCCCTTGACAGGTGCCCTGCCCTCTGGTCACCATCTTGGGACCGGAAATCCCACCCCTGACCTTTGCCTCTAGAAGTCCCTCCACTTGCCCCCAGAAATACTCATTTCAGCCAGGAGTTTTGCCATCTCATAACCAGAAAAATACCAAATTATATTCTAAAAATCAAACATCTACAACATTCATGAATTTGATTAAAAAATAAAATTGTCCTGATTTACATGTGTTTGTGGGCTGTGGGTGTGTGGGTATGTAGGGTGTGGGAGGGTATATGGGGTGTGCATACATGTGAGTGTGGGGGGGAGGGAATGTGTGTTTGTGCGGTCATGGGAGTGTAGGTGGGTATGCGGGTTTGTGGTAGGGAGGGTGGCTGGAGTGTATAAGGGGGTGTGGGACTGGGGGTCTGCATGTATGACAGTGCGAGGAGGGGTGCGGGTGCATATGTCTGGTGCGGTGTATGTGTGTGTGTGGGACTCGCCCTATGAACGAACACACACGTACACGGTCCCTTACTGTATGCACGTGCTCACACACAGAGAAAATGTGCCTCCCTCACTGCGAACACACACACACACACTGCGCCTCCCTCACTACACACACACCCCTCTCTCTCTTTTTTCCCCCCCCCTTCCCTCATTGCTCTCTCCGTCTCTCTCTTCCCCTCATTGCACACATACTCCTGCATCTGGCCTCGGGGTACCAGCATGGTCTCATGCTCCTCCTGTCTGGCAAAGCAGCCTGGGGCCATGTGGTGCTGGAGCAGGTGCTCAGGGAAGCATAGGTTCATAGATGTAGGGTTGGAAGGAACCTGAGCAGATCATCAAGTCCGACCCCATGCCCTGGGCAGGAATGAATACTGGGCTCATATTGACTCCTGGTAAGCTTAAGTTCATATAACCCCAGCTAGGTAATTATCAAGCCTCCTTTTAAAGACTCCCCAAGGTAGGAGCCGGCACCACTTCCTTTGGAAGCTGGTTACAAATCCTGGCCGCCCTGACTGTGAAGTAGTGCCTTCTGATGTTTAGCCTGAACCTACTCTCAATCAACTTGTGGCCATTATTCCTTGCTACTCTGGGAGGTGCTCGGGGGAACAGGGTCTCACCCATTCCCCTCTGGTCCCCCCCTGGTAAGTTTATAGATGGCCGCTAGATCCCCTCTCAGCCTTCTCTTGTGAAGGCTGAACAGGTTCAGGTCCCATAGCCTCTCCTTGTAGGGTCTCCCCTGCTCCCCCCTGGTCATGAGAGTGGCCCTCCTCTGGACCCTCTCGATGCTGGCCACATCCCTCCTGAAGTGTGGCACCCAGAACTGGACACAGTACTCCAACTGCGACCTGACCAGTGTCACATAGAGGGGGAGGATCATCTTACTGGACCTGCTCGTGATGCATCTGTAGACGCATGGCAAAGTGTGGTTAGCCTTACTGACCATGTCCTCACATTGGCGGCCCATGTTCATTTTAGAATTGATAACGACTCCTGTACTTGTCAGTATTGAATCCCATCCTATTCACATTCACCCACCCCTGTAACCTGTCCAGGTTCAGTTGTATCCTGTCCCTCCCTTGTAGCGTGCCCACCTCGCCCCAAATCTTGGTGTCGTCAGCGATTTTGAACAGGGTGCTATTCACTCCCTCGTCCAAGTCGCTAATAATGAAATTGAACAGTACGGACCCGAGGACCAAGCCCTGGGGGACTCCACTGCCCACATCCTTCCAGGTCGAATATGACCCATCCACCACTACTATCTGGGTGTGGCCCCCCTAGCCAATTTGTGACCCATCTGACTGTGTAGGCATCAATGCCACAGTCCCCTAGCTTTCTAATGAGAACGGGGTGGGAGACAGTGTCAAAGGCCTTCCTGAAGTCCAGAAAGATTACATCCACTGCGACACCTGCATCCAAGGATTTTGTGACCTGGTAGTAAAAGGCAATCAGGTTGGTTGATAGGACCTGCCCCTAATCAACCCATGCTGGTTGCCCTTGAGCATCATCCCCTTTGCTGGTCCTTCCACAGATGTGCTCCTGGATAATTTTCTCAAACAACTTCCCCAGGACCGAATTAAGACTAACGGGCCTATAGTTGCCTGGGTCCTCCCTACTCCCTTTTTTGAAAATGGGGACCACATTAGCCTTCTTCCAGTCTTCTGGCACCTGGCCAGAGCACCATGAGTGCTTGTAAAGCCATGCCAGGGGCCCTGCAATGACCCCTGCCAATTCCCTCAGCACCCTGGGGTGGAGAGCATCTGGACCTGCCTTACTACATCTTAAACTTTATTTAGGCTCTTAGCAACAGCATATAGCTTAATATCTAAACAAATACAGAAAAACACTTGGTCTAATCTTCAGCAAGCACCTTTATCATACAGACATAATTTTTAGCTGTTGCACTCCACTCCTTGCTTGCTGAAGCACCATGATAGCTATAGTTGAGATGCCAAAACCACATGTGCTACATCAGGAATGGGGAGGGACCTTTAAATTTAACTTGCATAGCATGAACAGATTTACGTCAACAATGGTTAAAACACCATTTAGCTGTTGCCACTAGGGCAATGTAGAATACTATGATGCTTAAGATGGTTAGCCATGTAGCTGAGGTGACGCCTAGTGACACAGAAATAGTGCAGATTACATCATACCATTTACATGACTCAGGCATGTTGACAGCCAAACTGATGATTCACCTACCCTCTCATGCAAGGAGAACCAAATGAGTGTCTTGCTGAGCCTTTGCTTCAAGGCTTTTCAGCTTATTTCAGTTTTCTAACCATGGTATGTCTACATCTGATACCCATGAAGTGGGTATCGTAAAGTTGAGAAGTATAGTCTCAGAGGAAATTTCTGGCCATTTTAGGGCAATAGTACGGTTACTTAATTGCAGTAGAGCAATGGCACCACCTTTAGCTCCTAAGCAACACGAATTGCACAAAGCCCAGGTGGTACCATTTTCATGTGGAAAACGACCTGGTCCTTCCCAACAAACATGTTGCCTTATTGTTACATATGACACATTAGGTAACTTGTATATGCAGGTCGTGTTAGGTGGGCTGAGAGGCCAGCCTCTCCTAGGGTCCCTAATCGAATCAAGGTGCTACTAATTTGAACCAAGGGGTACTGTGCTACATAACGAGGACCATTGGGGGTAACTTTTTCCCATATGGGGTGATGCAGATGCCAGTCCCAAAGGCATCCTCCTCCTACCCCTGTGCTTAGCAAATAAGCAGTGGTCCAGTTTCCATCTTTTGTTCCCTGCAACAGAAATGAACACTTTCCTTTATCACAGCCTTCCCAAGTGGTAATCTAGGTACTTTGATAGGGGTATCTTTCTTTAAATGTTGCAGGCATTTCATGATGCTCTAAGCCAGGGGGCCATTTTCTATTTTTAACGTTGTTTATTACCTGGGAAAAATACATATTTAATGATAACTGAACTTGCGCACAAGCAGTAATCTAAGTTTGATTTTTGTCTACTTTAAAAGCAGTATCCATCATGACCTGGGCAGGATGGGCTGTCTCTAATCCTACATCAGTTAGCAATTTGTCAGTGTGTTCTAACATTTTTCTTTCAAGCATGCCTCCCCTAGTGAGCAGCCCTACCGCCTGTTGGAGGTTGACTACTACTTCAGTGTTTTTCTGGGATTTATCCAAGTTCCATACATTCATAGCTGAGTTAAGTCCATCCCAAAGATAACCTGGAGTATCTCTTTGTCTGCAGGACTTACCTGTATTCATGGAACGGAAAATGATTGACCATTCCCATATAAGAAACCATTCAGCAACATGGGCTCCCGCTGAACAGTTTGGAAAGGCAGCTCA